TCAAAAAATGTCACGATAGGTTGTTTTTGATCAGGGCAATAGTAGCAGCGTGATGATGAATTAGATACTGCAGTAGCCGGATGATAAGTCCAAATATGTCCGTACATTCCAAATTATATTACGCAATTTTTATAAATATAAAGAGAAAATATGTGCTGTTTAACATAACTAGTTATTATCTCTTAGTCTGCATTTCGTATCAATTTATTCTTGCGGGTATATTGCGGAAATATTACACATTTTTAAGCAGGTCTTAAGCTGCAATTGTTATTTATGCTTTCATGTGGTTGAACTTCTAAGACGTGAATGTAAAATCCAAGTCATTTTTGTTTTTATTATTATTATTATTATTATTATTATTATTATTATTATTATTATTATTATTATTATTATTGATCTTAGTTTCGAATAAATACATACCTCCAGGTGCTCGTCGGGCCACCCTGCAGGCGCATATCTTCTGGGAGGGCAACATCGGGGGCTGCGCCATCATTAACGACCTGCATCCAGTCATTTCTCACAATGCATTATTCAATGGACTCTCAGATTAGCTTCAATTACAAATCGCTACCTCCCTGATCAAGTTCAATGCACTTCTTGGAAAATTACAACACAAAAGAGTCGGCCCAAGGTTCTGATCCATGCGTATAAAATTACTCAAAATTAATGTTACAAACGAGTAAGGAACGCAGGCGATCACTTTTTACGAATAAATACGCAGAGGAATATTTCTTGTAATGAATTAACTCATGCAAGTTTAAATATAGCGTTCCTGATTTATAGGACAATCATCATACATTAGTGTTAATCAGTTACACGATTTGACTCAAAGATTGATTTATTGATATTTTCAAGTTTCTGGGCAAGTCAACTGCTACGGTCATTATTCCCGTAAGTGTAGGGCTCGTTTTTTCACTGGATGTGACATTAATCTTCCCTGATCGATGGTGAGATCCGGAGCCTACCCACACGTCGCCTTGCGGGTTTTTCATCAACCACGTATCTCCCAGGTATGGACACTGTCGTAGCCGGGACACGCTGTAAGCTCCCGATTGGTCTTCCGACATATATAACAGCGTAGTGCACGTATGTGTGTGTGCGTAAGAAAGAGGTGACGATAAGTAAAAGAAGAGGAGGGAGAAATCGCGCGCGTCCGTGGCCCGTCTGTTTGGGTACAGCTCTGGCATTCGCCTGGTTGTGGTCGGAGAATCCACGGAAAACTTCCGACCAGGATAGCTGGCCATTAGAATTCTCTTCCAAACGCCGCAACGGCCATATTCGATCTAGCTATCTAGCTGATGTCGAAAATACGCTTAGGACGGGACTCGAATCCTAGGACTTTTCGGAAGATTTCGAGATACAATACAACATGTCCACTGATGTGTAGTCCAATTTTATTATAGTGACATCTGACATTTGATCAGGTAGTCGCGGCTATCCAATCGTTAGCATCGTTAGCATAACGCGGAAACGGAATTGTTTTTCATGTTCTGCAGGGGAAAAATCATTATAAACGGAAGTCTTGTGGATTTATAATTCAATTGGCAAAGAGACGCGGTATGTTCTTAATGACATGAATGCATTTGCATGCGTGTTTTAAGTGCTCTACCCCAGTGACAACCGATTTAGTCGTGACAGCCGGACATTAAATGAGATTCATTTCAGCTGTCAGCGTGGAATTCGAACGTGGGATCAATTTACTCTCAAGGCGTAGCCCATAGGGGATTTCTCTCTCCGACTCTGATCGTGGAAAGGTGTACGGGCATGGCTTGTATTCACGTATCTCCCGCAGTGAAAATCATGACTCGTCGACAATATACTCCAAGCTCAAAGTCATGCAAGTGTATCAGAAAGTCATAGTACTGAGTTGGGACGCATTGTGTGTTGAAAGAGTCTGCTAGCGGTCCGAATACAACCAGTAAGGTGTGCATTTTTCAACTCGGACGCGGTCAATGAAGAGTGTCTAATATTCATTTATTGGTATTTTATTCCATTAATAGTTGTGTGTTTGTGTATTTTGATAATTATAATAAATTCATGTTATTTACTACTGCCAAGGCAGAATCGTCAATATCGTCAAGTGTGAAAAATGGGCAGCCATGCATAAAACGAAAACCTCCCTATACCGGACTTTTCCGTGTCGCGATTGATTCCGGCTTAGACAGATGTTACTGTACGTCGATCAGTCGCACGCTCATTACTTTGGAATCGTCCAAGAGTGTGTGTGTGTATGCGTGCGTGTGAGTACCTGTGCACCACCTCGCCCAGCAGGTCGACGACGCTGGACCGCGAGGGCTGCTCCGAGGGCTGCTGCGACGCTTGGTCGGGCGGCAGCGGCGGCGGCGGCGGGCCCATGGCGCTCGCCTCGCTGGCCGTGACGGACGCCTCGACGCTGGCCGTCGGGCTGAAGGGCGACTTGGCCATCATGAAGGAGCGGTGCAGGATGTCGCCCAGGGCGTGCGTCGCCACCTCGCGCTCCGACCCCGGCGGCAGCGGCTCGTCGGCCTTTTGCGCGAACGGCTCTGCGCGCACATTCAGTGGTTAGTGGTTCCGGTCGCGGCAACGGCCACGCTCATTAGTCCCGTTAGTGTGGTGCATGCTTTCGTCGCCGGAGGTGACTGCGATCTTACCCCTTTGAATGGCGAGATGCGACACCGACCTACCCTCTGCTCGGTAATTTTCCATGTTGTTTTTTTATCAGCACCAGGAAAATGTCGGAGTAGTACAGTAGTACCCACGGACCATGCATGATCTTTCCTTCCTCTTCTTTGTCCTATCCTATTCCCTTACACAAACTTACATTAACGTTACTACAACACATGCCGGGAGATAGGTCGGGGTTTCCGCAACCAGGTATCTGCCACCAGTGAGGTACCGCCCCAGTCGGGACACGCTCTAACCTCCCGACCTATCTCCCGGCATGTGTGGTAGTGTCATGCTTGTACGTTTGTGTAAGGGGAGAAGATACGACAAAGAAGAGGAAAGAAAGATCGTGTGTGGTCCGTGACCCGTTTTTTAATGTACTGTCTGGCATTCACCAGATGTACTACTGTACTACTCCGACATTTTCCTGGTGTTGATAAAAAGAAAACATGAAAAATTACCGAGCAGAGCAGCCAGCCGCTAGTATTCTCCTCCAAACAGCGGCTGAAGTCGATCTAGCTATGTATCTGGTGTCAAAAATTCTGCAGGCGTCACTTATGAACCCTATTCCTTCCATTTTACTCATTCCACCCCCACATTAATTAAAAAAATCATCATTTAGGACCAAAGGCCTAAAACACGGAAAAACAGCTAAGTGAGTGTCTGAAAGGAGCGCAGGGACTGCCTCGGGAGCTGAGAGAGATCAGTCGGGCATTCCGAACGGAGTTATGTATTCCGTAAGATGTGGCCCCGAAAAGTTTGCCGCTTCATATCGGCGACATTACATGAGAAGAAGGTTAACCTAAGTATTCAGATTGCTAGGCAAATTGCATCGGGCTATCTACATGGAGGCTTTAGGTACTTGTAAATTAAAACCGAAACAGTATTGGTGGGACACAAGTCAATAAGAAAAGGTTAAGAGGAAAAGAGAACTGTATTTAAAATGGCTTAGTGACAAAAAAACTGAAACTAATTTACAGTATAAAGCAATAAGTAGAGAAGTAGAACAAGAAGTGTTATCAAGGAATAATAAATTGTGGCTGGATAAATGCGATTATATAGAACAATTCATAGGTGGAGCACGGAGCTCAGAAGCCTGGAAAGTAATTAAATATATTAAATCGAATGAAGAAAACAATATCGCATTATAAAACATTGAAATCAATAAATGGGAAGAGTATTTTGGAAGACTGCTGCTAGAAAACAGACTCTTATTGTCACACAAGGAAGTGAAATTTGAACAAAGGGTAGATCTGACAATTAAAGATTTAGAAAAAGCCCTTAAGACCATGAAATTCAATAAGTCACCTGGTCCGGGAGATATACTGGCAGAATTACTAAAATATGGTCCCTATAAACTGCAATAAATGCTCAAACACATTTTTTTATGTTCATAAATGGAGAGGATCCTCCTTAGGAGTGGCGAACGTCTTACCTAACACCGATCCATAAGAAAAGATCTAGAGACAATGAAACAAACTACAGAGGAATAGCAGTTATTGGATCTATTGGTAGACTATATAGCAAAATAATTCGAAATAAAATAGAAGAAGAAATAAAAGGAAAAATAGGAACTATGTGGTTTTACTGCCGGCAGGTCGGTCATAGACAATATATTTTCATTAAAACAACTTATAGAAAAAAGAAAAAGGAGAGGTAGGGAAGTTCATCTGGGTTTCATTGATCTTCAGAAGGTGTAAGACAATGTACTGGTTGCTAGAGTATGGGAAGAAATGGATAGACTTAAATTCAGTGAAAAGTTAATTGGAGCCACACATAATCTATATAAGAACAACACCTCTCAGATTAAGATCTGCAGCAGGCTCTCGGATCCATTCCCAGTTCAGTAAAGGTCTTCGTGAGGGTTGCTGTCTCTCCCCGACGCTGTTTATAATATATCTGCATCAAATTTTACAGCAGTAGGAGAAACAATGCAGAGTAATGGGAATGACGTTGGAGAGGATAAATTGTATACGTTATACTTTGCCGATGACCAGGTAGTAATTGCAGAAGATGCGGACGATTTGAGATTCACGATCCGTAAACTCAATGAACACTTTTTAAAAGCAGGACTTAATATATTCTTTTGTTTTGTAAGTATTAAACAATTTGCATGTTTCTGGAGTGTTTCCATGCTTCTACAAAGCTATTTTTTTTCAAACCTTCTTTTCAAACCTACTTTTGAGTTCTTATTGCGGCTCAGCTATTCTGAATATTGAAGTGCTTTATTTGACAAAATATATTTAAAATTGTGTTAAGAGCTTATTTTCGAAGTTTCGGCGTTTCCTCCGCGGACATCCTGTGTAGTTCAACAAATGTTTTTAATTTGACGAATGGAATAGTCTCGAAAACTCACCTGCCATCACCGATTTGCGCAGTAAATGAGAGAGCACGTCCTGAACAGTCTCCCCAGGCTGCATGGGATATTCGTCATCAGGTGGCGTGCAGGCTGCAAATAAAATCAGCGCGTTGCGTCACGTGCTTGGGCACATACGAATATGCTTGCTGTGAATATAATTGCACTGAAGCGTTAAGAAATGAATGAGCGTTAGCATTATCTCAATTGTCGATTCGAGAAAACAGGTTTCATGCCGCGCAGATGAGAAATATTTTATCTTCCAACAAGCCGTAAACATTTGCATTGGCTATAAATTTTCTATTTTAGGCGAATAATCACGTAGAATTCATTTGTATGAAATAAATATGAAAAATGTTTGTTTACTGAATAATTTGTGAGATCATTTAATTTACACCACTTTGTTAATTTTGCTTTTAATATAAATCCTTTGACTCTCAAAACCTTTCGTTTTCATGACTATAGATAAATATGCTCAAGCAATTACATAAAATAGCAATATTGTAGCCGAAAAAGTTACCGAGACATGATTGAAGCCTTAATTCGTAAATTTACTTTATTACACTATTTTTCAATTGCACGAACACATATACAGAAGACATGTTTGAAGCATGGGCACCAAATTTGTTTGGAGAGAATTCAATAGCTAAGATTTAGATTACCTGAGAGAACCCTCCGATGTACTCCATGTATAAAAAAATATACCGGGTGGGACGCGACTCCAACCCACCCACCCCCATCTGTGGCGCTCGTTGTTTCAAGAACTATTTCGTTCATCTCTTTTGGGTAGATTTCGAAAAAATTAACTGTTGTTTGGAACACACATCGCGAACGGGTAGTGCATATGTTCTATCTGTCGCACCCCTCGAGATTTTGTACGTTTTTAAATTATTTGACTTACGTTCCCACACGGATTTCCTCATTAAGGTGTCTATGAGACTCGAGACAGCGTCGCCCCCTTCCTCCCCAGGTGGCGGTGGAGGAGGTGGCGGAAGGGCTGCAACGAGAATGCAATCACACTCACATACACTAGCAGGCGCGAAATGTTAGTAAGCTTATAATTCGTATTAACGGAATGCAAAATATTTAGAAAGACGGTAGGTAGTAGTAAGAAATGATAAAAAACGAGCGGTATTTTTTTTGTTGCATAATTATTTTCTTGTATACAACCACATACTTTAGAGAATTGTATGTAATAAGCAGGGAAAAGTGCAGATTTCTCGTCAGAAAAATACGTTTTTGAGTCCCTTTTGTGTTTTTTTCTTCAAAGCGTGTGTATGTAGTATGTTTGTCCGTCCATGCACAATTTACAAAATATAGAATTCATTTCACGAATTAAAGAATTGGTAATATTATTCTGCCATGTGGCAATTATTTGTGAATTTCTATACCAGCACACAGGAGAACGTACCTCCCATCACCGACCGGCGCACCAAATGTTGCAACATGTCATGCACCGCCTCCCTGGGATGCTCTTCAACGTCTGCGGCTGGCGGCAAAGCTAGAGAGCGTTCGCATCGATCAGAATGGTTACTGAAGTATTTTATTGACAAAAATAATCAACATTATTTACATACGTTATGGAACGACAAGAGAGCATTGCGAATGTTTATAATCCAGAAACACCGGAATGGCAAAACTGATGAAAATAGAGACATTTCGTGTCCTTTGTTACAGTTACGTGTTCGTGGAACGTGATAATCTATGAAGTTTTTAAATTGGTTTCAACAAATTACTCAGTGTATCGCTGTGGAGGTGACGTGAGATTATGCAGGTGGCTCAGCATAAATGTTGCAAACGTCTATTAAGCAAGTTTTTTTAATATTGATATTAATAAGTACTTTTTGGAGAACTGAAATGGTATCTTTTTAGATTTTTTTAAAAGGTAGATTATTTCCTACATTATTTTTGATTTTGGGATGGGGATGGGCGAACGTGTTCAAGATGGTATTTATTTATTATTTTATACGTTATTTGCTTCTTTACCATTATTAATTGGGTCAAAGACGATAGATCCTGTCAACAAGCTGGTCTATTTTTTCACGTACTTTCTTTATCGAGTTATATTTTTAATTCTTTTTTCACTACTAGCGTACAAAGCAATTCACATTCTTTTAAAACTTCAACCATGAAACACGTTTCATGAAGATTAATATATGCAATTGGATTACTTAGATTCACTCAGAATCAACACCTTTTTGGCCTTATTGTTAACATTGTAATCTCTCATATGCAACAAATGGGTTTGCTTTCGTTGCTCAGATCATATGTTTCGTTTAATTATGTTTTCCACCTCGAAACTGTGATTTTGTCATTTTTCTAATTATATCGCGATCTTCTAAATTTGGAGACGCCAATTCTCGGTCTATGGCCTTAATTTTCAAGAAGACAAGAATCTGGTTTGTCAACGTGAAGAGTATTTTCTATCTATTTCAATGTGCATATATTTTGGTTACTCGGTTTCAATATGGCAACCAGTGCAACCTCACCACCTCTTGCAGACTAAAGGAATCGGCGTCATGTTTCCTTTCTGTATATTTTTTTTATTCTGTGGGGATAGCTGTAGGTAGAATGTGAGAGCGTAGGCTTCAACAGCCCGAGTCAGTAACTACTAGGCTGTCCGGGAAACGCCGCGTCCTCGGTAGAAGAGCTAACGTTCCGGTTGCCATTCCGCGCCCTTCCTCAGGGCGAAACGCGTCAGGTGCTCACCGGCCCACACGGACTGGCGCACCATGCCTTGCAGGAGCTCCGCCAGCGACTCCACGGGCACGTGGTCGTCGCTCGCGGCCTGCGGCGCGCCCGCCTCGCGCGGCTGCGCCGACGCCACCGACGGCACAGCGCTGGACGCCGCGCTGGGCGGGAAGTCGGGCGGGAAGTCGGGCGGCAGGGCGGCCGGCGGCTCTGCGGGACACGCTCCTCAACTTTCTTGCAAAGCACGTCCATAAATTACCTAACGCAAATTTGGAGTGTTTCGAATACCCCCTCTCCCCCTGTAACGCTCCCGTAGCAATTATACTTTCTTGCAAAGCACACTGGGGGGGGGGGTCCATAAATTACCTAACGCAGATTTGGAGTGTTTCGAATATCCCCTCTCCCCTTGTAACGCACCCGTAACAATTACGTAACGCTTGCGACAACCCCCACACCCTACGTAAATGCAAAGAGTGAAAATAAATTAATGTAAAAAATAGTTTTCATTTCATTGATGTAAATTTTGCATATATTTTATACATTTTATTTAACTAACGCCATATATTTTTAATTTTACGATAAACCCTTTGTAGCCAAGTTGGTGGGTTCAAACCCGATCGAAGCCGTGGATTTTTAAGGGCGAAAAAATCCTTCGTACGCCTTCCTTCGGAGGGGAAGTAAAGCCGGCTGTCCCACGTTCGTAGATTTACTTGCATGTAAAAGATCCTCAAGCCGAAATGACTCCTCTGAGCTAAATTGAAATCGCCTGTTTCTCGCCCAAGAAATACCTTCCTCCTCTGCTAGATGAAAGGAGCGTAGCGAAATTTGCGTGGTCAGACGGAAGAGCGGGCCTGATGGCCAGAGTCTCGCCACGTAAAATAAGGCAAATTCAATTCAATTCAATTTAAACCAATGGGTCTTGTCAAAATCTTTTCAAAATGTTGTTGGGCAAAAAAGGGGTAATGTCCTTCACTCCCCATCTTAGTCAATTTGCGGTTCCGCTCTTGCAGCAAGTGGCCAGCTTCCGTACCGGAGCCGTCCTTCTTCTTGCACGGGCACGGTGTTTTCCTGGGCGGCTGCTCGCTGGGCGCGGCCGACAGCGCGGGCGGCTCGGCCATCACTATCGAGCGGTGCACGATGTCGCCCAGCAGCCCGTGCACGTCGTGGCCGCTCGGCTCCTCCGCCGCCGCCGCCGCCTCCTCCTCGGGCGCCGGCTCGCCGCCGAACAGCTCCGCGAACATGTCCCCGGGCGCGTCGCCGGGCGCCGTGCGCGGCAGCGCCGCGGGCGTCTTGCTCCTGCCCGCGCAGTACCGGCAGCGGGCCGGACGTCGCTCTTGCCGCGGCGGGGGCGGCAGGCTGGGGACGCTGGCCGGCGACGTCGCGGCACGCGCCCGCGCCACGCTCAGCGGCAGCCTGCTCACTTGCGGAACGCCCTCGCCCCAGGCGCGCTCGGCCCGTCGCCGGCGGCCGCGCGCCGCGCTCCACGCCGCTGCCCGCCGGCCTCCTGCCTGCACCGCGCTTGTGCCGCGAGGTCGCCCGCGAGTCATTTGCGACGCAGCTTCGCGCGTCGCCCCTCCTTGCGCCGCGCTGCTTCATGCTCTTGCGACGGCACCCCTGCCACACACAGCGGCTTGGCAACTCATCGCTTGCCTACTGATTCCGGGCGCGCCAACCCCTATGGTCATTGCTTCCGTGAGAGTGGTACATGTTTTATCGTGGGAGCTGGCGGTGATTTCTCCCCCGCTGGATGGCGAGATCCGACGCCAACCTACACGTCGGCTTGCGGGGTTTTCCCCAACCAGGTATCTCCCACCAGTGGGGCGCCTTCCCAGCCAGGACAAGCTCTAAGCTCTCGAGTGGTCTCCCAACATGTGTTGTAGTGTTAAGCATGTAAGAATAAGTGTGTCAGGGGTGAGGATAGGACAAGAAACTAGAAGGAAAGATCGCGTGCGGTCCGCAGCTCGTTCGTTAGGGTTCTGCTCCGGTATTTGCCTACTGTTGGTCGGAGAAACCACGGAAAACTACCGTCAGAGCAACCGACCGCTAGAATTATCCCACACACAACGATTGAATTAGACCTATCTATGTAGCTAGTGTCTTAAATCTTGCCACCGTCGACACTCGCACCCTAGGGCCTCCCAGTCAGAGGCACTGCAGTGACATCAGTTGACGCCCTGATCCAACTAAGCCGGTAAACAAAATGTATCCGAGATCAGGTGTCTGATCGGCAGAGTAATTTGATGATCAAGCTGTAAAGTTTCTGGAGATAATAAAGGAGCACGATGATTATTTCAATAAATTAATTTCTCTTTCTATTGTCAAGTCGACTCAAAGTTATTGATTACTTTTTGTCTAAATCAATTGTACTTTAGAACGTATAAGGTCCGGCGGAAAAGTGACAACAGTGCATAAAAATGTCGTGACGACCGTGAATAGCGAGCCACATCTATGAACGACATTTATATCTGTAAGTTAAGGAGAAGTTGTCAAGAACATGTAAGAAACCGGACGTATTGAATTCAAGTTAGAAGTGTGCAAAAGGAAATACTAAGAATTCGTATGTAATGTGAATACGTTAGAAATTTTGGTAGAAACTCTTAGTTATATGAAGATTCTCTTATTTCTAATGACCATTCGATCTCCACACAGTCACAGGACATGTTCCTGGTGAACGACTAGCTTCATTATTTCGAAAAGGTCTCCGACTGTTTTTTTACAGATCAACAACTGTAAAATGTAGAGATCCGTTGCCAAGATGCAATTGGTCACTTGCATTAGTCAGATCTGCAGGCGAAAAAAGTAGGGAGAGAAGGAGAAAGAGCAGACGGACGATGGGATTGAGAGATGTAGAGAGAGGTGGAGAGAGAGGAGGAAAGAGGAGAGACGGGCGATGGGATTGAGAGATGTAGAGAGATGTGGAAAGAGGAGAAAGAGGAGAGACGGACAATGGGATTGAGTGATACAAAGAGAGGTGGAGAGAGAGAAGGAGAAAGAGGAGAGATGGACGATGGGATTGAGAGACGTAGAGAGAGAAGAAGAAAGAGGAAAGACGGACGAGGCAAAGTGCTCACAGGCGGCGGGCTGCACGCCGAGCCCCTTGAGCTGGTCGGCGAGGTCGGCCAGCATGGCGCCGCGCTCCATGGCGACGCGCATCAGCTCCGCCCACTCGCTGCGGAAGCGCAGCATCTCCACCGCGAACGCCCCCACCTGCGCGCACACGCGCGCGCGCGCCCTCGACACTACTCTTTGACGCTCACTGTCGCCCAACCAAAGTGTAGCTCCAGGAAACGCCATATAAGAGACCTTTCTAAACTAGATGACTTGGTCGGCAAAGGACTAAATATGTATGTAACACATCTGAAACAGTACTAAAAGGAGCAATATGCCATCTTCAGAAGAAAGAAACAATTTTATCCTACAGTCAATATTTATATTTTGGTAATTAAAAAAAATAATTCCGCCAGAAACTCACTTTGCTATTGTGTTCGTGTCACATATTTTCGAGTTGGATGGGGATATTTCATTATCGTTTAGACCCTGTAAGGGTCTAACGATTCACCTCCTTGATTAATTCTGCGTTGCGAGAGCCGGTCAATGAGTAGTATGTTTTAAATGACCTCCTACCAGTAACGTAATTCAAATACGATCTTCTGTTCTGCAGCAATATCGCCAAATATTGCAGTTTAATTTTTGTGGTGTTCAGCAGGTGCCATTACTTGTCTAACAAGAACTCAGTTAATAGATTACGGTATATTTACCTTTTTTATCTTAGAACGTCGTTAATTAACAATAAACTGACGCCAAACATTTTCTATGCATTCTTTGAGTATGTGAGGTTGTAGTGTCGGTCGTAGATTTTTCGCAAAAATAAAACGACGGTGAGCGCAAAGTGACCAGGTACATCCATTACTTACCATACCATTGCTTCTACTGCCAATGTAAGTCATTACCCAACGACCCTCAAATGAGTGCTTTAAAAACATCTAAGAAAGCAACAAGGATAATCTTGGGAAAAGAAATTTGAATGATTTCTTTAGACATATTTGGCAGTAAAATAACTAAAATTCCACGTATGAGATTTAATTATAGATTATTTAGTTACGTATTCATTATTACATGAGGGTTTATTATAGCTTAACATAAATATTCAAATAAAAGCGTCTTGACCTGTACTGTCCTGTCTTTTGACTCGACAGCCGCAATGCTAAGGATCTTGGCCGCTCTGCGGTGACCCAGCCTCTCGGCCATAGGATAAGGAGTTCGTGTTGTTAGCACGAAGACATCAATTCACGGGATATTCTGGTTTTCATAACCTTAGGGTGGGCATTTTCATCGTCACACAGCGATAGATAATGGAACATTCCTAAGGAAAGTGCAAGGTCTTTATTTTGCCCCAGCCGGGAATCGAATCCGCGGTTGTGCCGTGGAAAGCAAGAACGCTAAACAACTAGCCACCGAGGGCCTTGTTGTTAAATTAAATAAACAAACTTTTTTTAACTATTAGAAGTAAAAAATATGATTGTCTCTGGGTAGATAAGGAATTACATGCTTAATATCGAAGAGTAATTGTTTTTACTTAGAAGCTTTTACCGTAAAGAAAAGAAGTTATCACGTAAATAAATATCTTTATCATTCTGAATTGATCAATTTCTAGTTTATAACCGAGAGTTGGTCGCAATTGAACGTTATCTTTATGAGCTAGTAGGAGTAAACGTGTTTTGTATCTGTTTTCAGTTGATGAGAATATTCAACGGCCATAAAAAAAGTGAAATGATTGACATGCTTGAGAAAATTTTCCTCGGTGTTTGATGTCTTTTGAAGAAAAAAATGGCAAATACTCCAAAGAAAATCTTGGTTTAAATTGAGTCTTGACTCTAGACGAGACAAGAAACCCCTGATTTAACGAATATTACGACTAACCGATATGGCCGATATCGGGGTCACGAAACATTGTTTTGGGGGGAATATAATCTAGGATTTCACTTTACCGATGTCCCACTGTACCTATATAACTAATTTCGAATATACGCATAAATTAACAACATACTAAGCAACCTGTGGTAATGTGAGATTTGTAAATGGTTTTGTTAGGAAGACTGGGAAAATACAAAACCAATGTAACAACTTCGATTTCAATTAATAGATTAAATATTTAATTATATTAATCCGCAATTTCTCGTACCTGATGTTACACCTCTATTCTCATACTCAGCGTGTATGAGATCGCATCACGACGCAGATGGCATCATGCGAAAGACTCTTCAGTATGCACATGTGCGGTTTCAGAAAAGTCAGTTCTTGTTGCTCCAGGACACCATTTTTCGCACATTTCACAGCAGACTTTTTGATGCTGCAGACTACTAATTTTGCACTGTATCAGGGTATAAGCGGCCTTATTCTATTTTGCTGAAAACTCTTCGAAGGTTTGCTCAAAGTCAAAAGTAATGACTAGGGGCCGGATTTTAATAAAACGTTATTAAAAGGCCCCGTTTTTACGTCATTTTTTACATTTTTCATCGATTTCGAACAATAAATAATCTTTTATCCCTTAACGTAACTTTAATGGATTTTCGTTTATTTTATTGATTTTAATACCATTTTAATGCTAATTGCTTCAAATAATATTTACAAGATGCAACATATGTTCTTTATAGAATTCCTGAGCAACCTATTTGACTTCTTCGCTCATATATTGCAGTGTCAGCCGTTGTTAGTACTATGTAATCAGAGCTTCCTGTGACGCCTATCTGCCCCATTGTGGGTTCGGCCTATTTCGCAATAAATAAAGATAGATATTTTTCGATAAAGAACGAGCCAAAAAAACGTTTGCTAGCTGAGTTCACTTGAAGGAAAGGCGGAAGCCTAGATTTCATCAGTTTCAACAGCCTGAATTGTTCATATGAACTGTTTTTGACCTCATCTTTTAATTCATTTTTCGTTGCTTTTAGGGCGTTATAAAAATCTTTTTAGAGCATTTTATTGATCATTTTTGGTGATGTTGTAGTCATCGCTGCCTCCCCTAGTAATTATGAATCGTTTATCTACAAACATTTTAACGTCCTTTGAGAAAGTGAAATAAAAAACCTAAAGTGACGTACGAGAATTATGATAATTAAGACATCTTTTATTTATCAAATTTTCATAGTATTCACTGGCTGTTATTAATGATTTTTACGAATTTTCTTTATTTTATAATTTTAACTAGCAACTGTTATAGTCGATAAGTTACCACTGAAGTCCGAATGTGACAAATTCTCGAATTAGACGATTTATATTCAAATTATCTAAAATGGATGGATAATATAAAATTCGTTGCTTAATGGAGATTTGTTTACGCTTGATTTGTACCGAGGTTAAAATGAATGGCCCTTTGCCTGCACACTGATATATTACGCAACTTCTTTGTTGAGCTCTCGAACTGCTTCTTTTGTTATATTACGTAACGAAATGTCGCCAAGGCTCTTCTGAACGTTGTTCCTTACTACCGTAGAATGTAATTAATGAGACTTAGTTATCTTGGAGCTATATTAACTCCAAGTTTTCGATGTATGGTGGTGTAGTGGTTGTCAGAGGTGACGATAGGCCAAAGAAAAGGAAGAAAAGATCGCGCGTGGTCGGTGACCCGTTTGTTAAGGTGCAGCAACATCGGCGTTCACCTGGTGTTGATCGAAGAAAGCACGGAAAATAACCGATCAGAGCAGCCGGCCACTAAGAATAATCCTTTAGTCGGCGGCTGAATTGTATCTAGGTATCTACGAATAGGTAGTGCGGAAAGTCCTGCCAACTGGAACCCTCGCACCTCCGGGTCAGGGGCATCGCGGCGACGTCACGAGAGCCGCCGCAGCCGTTGCTACCTGCATGTCGCGCTGGCGCAGGTCGCCGGCCAGCTCGTCGAGGCGGGCGGCGATGGCGCCCTTCTCGTAGGCCAGCTCGCGCGCCGCGTCGCGGGCCGACGCCGCCAGGCGCGCGTGGGCGCCCAGCGCCGCGTCGCGCTCGCGCAGCTCCCGCAGCAGCGCCTGCCGCTCCGCCGCGCTCGCCTGCAGCCACCGCACACACCGCCGGTTCGCGCAGAGGGGTTCCGCGGGCGCCGGAACTACTCAGGTCATTAGTCCCGTAAGCGTGGTGCATGTTTCGGCTCGGGAGGTGGCGGTGCTCTGCCCCTCGCCGGATGGCGCGATCCGGCACCGATCCACCGACCGGCTAGTGGGGTTTTTCCTAACCAGGTATCTCACATCAACGGGGCGCTGCCCCAGCCGGGACAAGCACTAAGCTCTCAACCAGTATCCCGGTATGTGCGCTTAGTGTAAGTGTGTGTAACGAGAGAGGATAGGAAAGGAAGAGGTAGGAATGATCGCACGCGGTCCCTATTCCGTTTCGTTAGGGTACTGCGCCAGGTGTTGATCGGAGAAGCCACGAAAAACTACCGATCAGAACAGCCGGTCGCTAGAATTCTTTTCCAGACAGCGGCTGAATTCGACGTTGCTGACGAGCTAGTATCAGAAACCGTGCCACCGTCGGTACTCGAACTCCACCCGCCCAGAGGGACTTCAGTAACATCAGTTTATGCCCTGATTCATCTCTCCCGGTCCGCGCAGAGTTGAGTCACGTCACTTTATTTTATGCGTACGGTTCAAAATAAATGTTTAGAAATTCTAAGGCTTGTTTGGGAATCGAAGTTTATTACAATTTACCAAAGCGTATTTAGTGAAGTACTTCATGTATGGAAGTTACGTTGATTTAATTTTCACATTGCACCTCTAATTAATTTTTAACTTGTATTTGGCGGACACACAAGTTATCAAGACCCAACACACTCACTGCCAATGACTTTATCAAGCCTCTTTGGTCTTTATTGTTAGACTGTACAAATGTCTGGAATTTTCACGAATTAAATTTGATGTTTGCGGGAAACGGGAAAGAAAATGGATAGTTTTTCTCTTTCAATCGGTATTTGTACTTTTTTTCTTTCTTACGTGTTACCGGGCGTACGCACACTTGCAGTGATATATTATTTTTACTTTTTACTTATAAATGATTGATTGTCATTGCCTTTGATACGTAATACGAACACATTGCAAAAGTAATTCGAATCGAGAGGATCGTGGTAACGAGAGAAACACGAAAACAATTGAATAGTGCTTCATGTTCTCTTAAGCAGGGAATTATTAAAAGGAAATATGTAAAGAAAACGGGTCAACTTAGTCTAGTTAATTAGTAAATAAGTGTTTCATCACATACTCTAGTTAATCAGTAAATTTGAGTCATTAAAATTGTATTAGAAAATAAATGTACCTATGTACCATGGGCGTTAAATGGTTCTAATGATCTCCGGCAACAACACTCCCTCGTCCAAAGACTAGGTTTTTTGTCGCTGCTCGATCATTAGAGCCCTTGAAGCGCCATTCGCGCATAAACAACTATTTTTAAAACCGTTTACCGTTTTATTTTCAAAACCGTTTACAGCGTCGGCGACGCCGCATTTTCCTCGTAAACAAATGTGTCAACCCCGAAGTGGAAAAATCTGCGGTTGCGCTGGGTACCTCGGCCACCTCGAGCAGCGCGCGCACGTCCTGCTCGCGGCGGTCGTTCCAGTTTTTTTTATTGCCGCTCGGTCATTAGAGCCCTTGAAGCGCCTTTCGCGCATAAACAACTATTTTTACAACTATTCAAAGTTTTTTATCGCAGCTCGATCCTTAGAGCCCTTGAAACACCCTTCTAAAACAACCCTTCATAAACAACGTTTTTTAACTACCTACCATCCTTCATAAACAACTATTTTTACAACCGTTTACAGCGTCGGCGACGCCGCATTTTCGTTGTAAACAACTGTCAATCCCGAAGTGGAAAAAATTTTTGGTTGCGGTGGGTACCTCGGCCACCTCGAGCAGCGCGCGCACGTCCTGCTCGCGGCGGTCGTTCAAGTTTTTTTTATTGCCGCTCGATCCTTAGAACCCTTGAAACACCCTTCTAAAACAACCCTTCATAAACAACTTTTTTTAACTACCTACAACCCTTCATAAACAACTATTTTTACAACCGTTTACAGCGTCGGCGATGCCGCATTTTCCTCGTAAACAACTATGTCAATTCCGAAGTGGAAAAAATTTTTGGTTCTGGTGTGTACCTCGGCCACCTCGAGCAGCGCGCGCACGTCCTGCTCGCGGCGGTCGCGCTCGGCGCGCTCCGTGGAGAGCGCCTGCTCCGTCTGGCGCGAGCGCTCGTCCAGCTGCGCGCTGCGCTGCGCCGCCGCCTTGATCTTGGCGCGGCAGTGGCGCACCTCCTGGTGCAGCTGCGCGATGCGCGCGTCCTTCTCCGAGGTGCCCGCCGCGCCCGCCTGCCGCGCGCGCTCCGCCTCCGCGCGCAGCAGCGCCACCTCCGCCTGTAACGGCGACGGCGCAACGCGCGCGTTACAAAGCAGTCGAGTGTTAGCAGTGGGCGGCGAACCTCATGTGGGCTGTGACGCCAAATAGATGCAACTCTCCCAATTCCCTTGAGGTTCATTGGATCATTGACTCAGTATTTCGTGTTTCCGCGAGCGTAAACAGCTATTTTCGTTAGTCCCTCTGCTAGCCAAATTTGTATTCGGGTGTCAAAATGATATTTATGTGGGCGATGCGTCTTACGTTGCTTCCTGATACACTACGAGTAGAGTACTTTTAGACACAATTTTTAAAATTTTTTATATTTCAAAAATGTTTTTTTAATAATACGGTGTTTGATTACAGGATGTTAATAATACGATAAACGATGTTAATAAAACACTAGAACCTTACTAGTCCAAATCCCGCAAATCCAAAATTTCAGATAATCATGACATAATTCGGGATGAAGGAAAAATAAACAAAATAAATAAAATGCTTATTTGTAGTGTAAAGAAATGAATTTATAATTACTGTAGAACTAAAACTATAAATGGTTTTATAATTAACACCTTAACTTACATAATTAACAACTAATGGAAGCTATTGAAATGAAACGTTGATTTCACCTGTAATTGCGGTGCATATCACATACGTTTTTGTAGCAGTAATTTTCTCTTAGAAGATCTTCCATAATCGGTAAAATCGGTAAATTACGTTGTTGTTTTTTTGCCGTAAGGAAGTGAATCTGCTTGATGTAGCGATACGATGATGCAATCGCTACGCTACGTTGCATTGTCTGGTACTCCTATGGATATATTTGTATATGTACGGTACATTTTGTCAGATAAACCGATCATTTTCGAATCCGACCAGACTACACCCCCAAGTATTTCGGATTACTTGGGTTCCACTGCGCATCAATCGAAAACCATAAATTCGGCCAGGGGGCTCGTTCCCTGATTGGCCGATGCTCTTTCCGCATTGATCTATCAGGAGCGGAAGGGAACCTATCCCTATATTTACTCGTTCGCTGACCAACCACGCGCATTTCGCCCTGAAGAAGGTCGCAGAATGTCGGCCGAAACGTTGGCACCTGTGCCTAGGACGCAGAGTCTCATAGACAGCCGCGGAAACCTACCCTAACATAGAAAAAATTTCACCGAAAAGAAAGTTAAAATTATCTATTGGCTCTCCCATCCCCTTGAGGCTAATTGGTTCATTGATTCAGCATTTCGAGCGAAAATAGCTATTTTCGTTAGCCCCTTACAGATGTTTGCATGTTTTATCACGGGCGTTGGCGGTATTCTCCTTTGGTTTGATGGCTATATTCGGCGCCGACCTTTACGTCGGCTGGGGGGGGGGGATTCCCCGGACCTCGCCCCAGCTGGTAAAGGCTATCAGGAGAGAATCAGAGGCATTTGATGTCCTGATTCGCCTTGATGGGGATCACAGTGAGATGGTCGCGTAATTTCGTGAAGCACACAATGGGGTTTACTAATTCCTTTGGCATCGCACTCAGCATTAAATTTTCCAAAAACGTTTTTGTGACACACATGTGGCTTCCATCCATCTGTAATTACGTTTTTTAATTGAGACAAATAGGGATTCTACTTATTGATTTCAGTACTTTGAAAATATCTTCCCCGTTAGAAATTCCGTCCAATCTAATGACGTCAAACAATTATTTTGTAACTTCAAAACTAATACCTCTCATAAACGATAACACTTGGGCCATGTCTGTCACATCTGTTGACTCATCCAAAGTAATTGAGAGCCATTCGAACTTTGATGCCATGTAAGTTGAGGGGAAATGTTAGAAGCTATTTCTTCCACTCTGCGTGCAACTGTGTCGCGTGAAAGACTAACATCTTTGTGTTGATTTATTTTTTCTAGAAACATCTCTTCAGCAATTATTACCACACACTTTTTAACAAAGTTCCTATCGGAAAGAGGTGTACCTTCCTTTGCTATAAACTCTATTGACATTTTGGAAAACAAATGAACAATTCATTGGACGATGGCATTACAAGAGATATTGATAAGATTCTTAGAAGTGAGCTAAAGTAAACGAACCCATTGACGAAATCATAGACCAGCCAGCAGTTATGTTGCCAGCAACAGCCGAACAGCCAAACCTGTCCCTTCCTGTAATTAATCTTTCTATAATTCATTGATGACTTTTATAACTTGCATTTGTTGCAGCTTCATTGATGTGAATAGTTTTTTAAAAATATAATGCTGCAAAGACAGACCGCGTTTAAGTGCATCAAATTTATTGAAGCGTACACGGAAGAGGAAAAATTGTCACATTTGCCTATAGCTTCGTTGTGCTGTTTTGACTGATGTTGAATTCTTTAAGCACAGAAATTGTCTCATTAAGTATAACTTTACGTATGACTGTATTGACTGTTTCAATCATAAAACATTCGAAATAACACTTCGAGATGAAAGCACAATAGTCATTATCTATTTTACTTTTGCTGTAGGGACCTTCAATTTTAGTATCATAAATTTTTATGCAAAATATCAACTGAAAATCATTACGTTTAACACTTTTACTCAGTAATAAATTTTGGTTGGTAAAATAAATAAACTTGTCAATTAGTATTCATGTAAGTTACTTTTTGATTTTTCTCAAATAGTACCTATTAACGCGATCATATTGAGTTTCGACACGCTGCGTTTTAGTCCCATCTGACGGAAATCACAAACGAAACAAGTGGCGAAGACGCGAGTTGGCACCTCGTAGTCCTTGTTCTTCTGGCGCAGCGCGTCCAGGTCGTGGTTGAGGGAGGCGATGGTGGCGCGGCAGGCGCGCACCTCGTCCTCCAGCTCATCGATGCGCGCCTTCTTCAGCAGCAGCTCCGTCTCCTGGCGCCGCTTCAGGTCCTCCACGTCCTGCGCACGCCGCAACCACCCCACCAACGTCCACAAGCAAATCCGCGCTTTAGAAAGCATGTTTTATTTATTTATTTATTTACGTCAAAAACAGTTAAACACTTTGTGATGTGATATGTGGAGAAGTTAATTTGAAGTTATATTTATGTCCAGAAATAGCAAGGGGCTTTCTCAGCATTTGCTCAAGGATCAGGGAAACTGGACGAAAACCTGATCGAGATGGGGGTCATTGACTCAGAAGCTGAAGCACAATACTTGTTATAGGTTCTTTAGAATTATACAATCCAAATGGTAAATTATACATGAAATGTAATTGTTAAAATTAATATTACGTTTCGTGTTGGAAGGATCATGTGTTAGAAAACCCTAATAACACGCTAAGGGAAGATGGCGGTTGGCAAGAAACCTCCAGCACAAGTTCGCAGATTACGATACAGGAAAAGAGCAGGCGTTCATACAAACCGCAAGACACTTTACGCCTCAACACCTGCCATCATTATGTATAACAACGAAACAATGCCTTCTAAGTAACATTTTCTCCCAAAGGGACAAAAGTTATGTTGTGAGACTAACTTGATTGACTCACATTTTTACACCTAGTACACTTATAAGAAAATACAATATATACATTGAAATCGCAGTACTAAAACATATGAAAAGGAATAAGGAAAACAGAAAGCAAGAAGGTTTAATGCGTCGTCTCTTCAATGCCAAAGGATAATGGATGTCTCCTAAGTTGTTTTTCAGTTACAATAATTTCGGCTTACAATAACTCGCGGCCAATTTACGGCGGGTGGTGTAACCGGTAATGTAAAAAATTATTAGTGTGTCTTTCTTTGTTGGGGAAATAGTGACGGCTGTCCCATGTTGTCGATTTACTGCACGTAAAAGATACTTAAATCTAAAAGAAGCCTCTGAGTTGAATTCGAATTGCCTGTTTCGTCGCCCGAATGATTCATTATTTTGCTGCTGGATGGCGAAAGGAGCGTTGCGAAATCAGCGCGGTCCTGACGGCCTGAGCCTCGCCACGTGAAGTGAGGCATCGTTAATTGACTGGGGACCGAGCCCCGCCCACCTCAGGCTTGATGCTCTTCTCCCACGTCTCGTCGCGCTGGTCGCGGTACTTGGCGGCCAGGTCGATGAGCGAGCGGATCTTCGTGTCCTGCTCGCTGTGCAGCGCCTGCAGGCAAGGACAGTTTGCGAACATAAGTAAATCGGGAAAGTCAAGGCTGTTGGGAAATTGAGATCGTAGGCTTCCGCGGCCGGAGTCAGTATTTACTTGGCTGTTCGGGTGATGCCGCGTCCATGGCGAAGGTGCCGACGTTTCGGTCGCCATGGAGGCGGCGTCACCCGGACGGCCAAGTAAATACTGTTGGGAAATGTTGAAGCAATCGCCGGTTAACGTAGCATCGTAGGCTTTCACGGCTGCAGACAATAGAAGATAAATTTTCCGGGCCGACTGGCGTCAGTCACCAGCCAGCCGCGGCCCCCCCGCAACACTGTGCCCGCGACCCTGCCGCCTCTTTGGATGTCCACAGAGGATGCTCTGTGGATGTCCACCGCAGACGTGGACGAAAAGTTTGGCCCTACAATGCCAACTGAATCACGACCTACCAGCCCGAAAAATGTATCTTCTAATAATCGGTTAATTATGATTGGTCCATTAGCAGCAAGGGTTGGAAAACAAGTCAAAGATTTAAAATTATTGAGTTTATATTCCGATTAAAACGCCGGGGCAATTGACAGCTAATAACTTGGATTCAGTTATCCAATCTGGAGCTTCGTAATAACGATTTTTAAAATATTGAAGTTCCTGATTGGATAATCGAGTGCGTCCCAGCTGATCAAACGCCTAACGTTTTGATTGGAGCAGGTGTGTCCAACTTGCTAGATTTCAAGGGCCACAATTAAAACCTTTAATTTGGTTGCGGGCCATATTTTTTTACTCATCGATCCACACCTGCCTGCCCGTAATGTTGATCTCGGCATTTTATTTGGCTGCCCTGAAACGACGGTGGGACCATGCGTGATGTCAAGTAGTACCATGCACAAAGTAGTGAAACACATTAGCCTAATTTTTAATTTCTGAATTTACTAGAAAAAATTCTTTAGATCTAAACTTCACACATGTTTACATTAAAGGGGGTATTTACCACGTCAGGGTGTGTGCGTTCTCGCCCGACATGGTTGCACGGGACTTGCATTTTTGACTAACCTTTCGCGGGTCACAATAAATGGCACCGCGGGCCGCCAGTTGAACAACTCTAGGATGCAGTATTGGACAAAACAGTCACTTTTGTGTATTTTCCTTAGTTATCGTTTGTCCAGTTGTCAATTGTCAGTCGGGTTCGGTGTACCTGCGAGCGCGAGTTTTCAACTATAATGCGATTTTCGCACCGTTGCCATTAGCGGGAATCAGCTGTTGACAGTTTCATCCAGTCGGGCGTTTGAACGTCACAATAGTGACGTCACGATTCCCGATTGGACAGTTGCATCCAGTCGGGAGTTTGGACGTCACAATAGTGACGTCACGATTCCCGATTGGACAGTTTCATCCAGTCGGGAGCTTGAACGTCACAACAATGACGTCACGATTCCCGATTGGATGCAACCGCCAACAGCTGGGCGCAGAATTGAGTACAGGCAGTCGCAATACCTGTGAGCGCGAGAGGGCCTCCTTGAGCGCGGAGAGCTCCGACTCGAGCGCGGCGCAGCGGCCCGCGCGGCCCTGCGCCTCGAGCGCCAGGTGGTCGCGCTCCGAGCACAGCAGCTGCGCGCGCTCCTGCAGCTCCGACTCGCGGCTGCGCATCTGCTTGAGCGCGTTGTCCCACTCGCAGCGGCACTGCCGCACCTCCTCCGCGAACATCGCCACCTGCGCGCACCGCACGCCCTTCCTGCCTGCCTGCCCTCAAAGGCTCGAATTTTTTTTTTATTTCTTACTCACGCGTTAATGCTTGTTATTGCCTCCGATAAACACTGCATAACTTACTAACTGGATCGAGAGGAACTTGCGTACGTGGGAAATGTGAAAACAGTTGAATGGTGTTACATGTTCCCTTACGATGAAACTTATGAGAGGGAATTATCAAAGGGAACTGTGGGATGGAAACATGAAAAGACAAACCGCGTCAAAATAACAACTAGTTAATTAAGTAAATAAGTAAATTTGAATCATTAAAAATCAGTAAAAAATAAAATCATGAATACACTAAGGCCGTTTACTGGTTCTAATGATCGGGTCAGAGGCCTTCGGCCTTTTTTCGCCACTCGATTATTAAAACGCCCTTGGAGCATAAATATTTTGTTCAAATATTAAGCAAAACGACCTCACACTGAGATCATTCTTTATACATACCATTACGTACAATACATTTTGCTGACAGCGTGGGCTCTAGTTGTATTTTGCGTGATCTGGTCCGGGCGACGCCGCGTCGAAGGCTGTGTTGCCGACGTTCGACCATCCTGTCGTGGTCTTCCTCAGGGCTGGTATGCGAGGAAGACCACGACAAGATGGTCGAAACTTCGGCAACACAGTCTTCGACGCGGCGTCACCCGGGCACCCCAGATCACGCATATGACTCTGGCCGCGGAAGCCTACGACTTCACTAGTTGTATTTTGAGTTTTATTCGAACGCAGTTATTTCACATTTAAATCCAATGCCATGACATTCATTGAACTAGACCGAGGGGGCTCCCTTTCGAGGGTCACGCCCTGTGGGTGGCGCGGCGGGGAAGGCAGGGGCACCTGCATGTCGCGCTCGCGCAGCTGGCCGGCCAGCCCGTTGAGCTTGGCGGTGAGCTCGGCGTTGTTGGCGGCCTGGCGGCCCGTCTCGTCGCGCGCGAACGCCCGCTCCTCCTCGAAGTCGCGCGCCTGCTGCTTCCACTCCGTCTCGGCCTGGCGCAGGCGCCGCCACGCGTCGTCGCGCTGCTCCAGGCACTCGCGCGCCACGTCCGCGAACGTCTGCATCCGCGCCCTGCCACACCCCCCAAATCGAATGTGTTAAGAATTAGAATACATTGTCAACTTGAATATTTCACTACATCGAATTCATCAACCCGAATGTCTCAATTCACTTGAATACCTGTTGTATATCAACTATCTACAAATGAAATATCTCAATCTCCCATGTGTAAGTAGATCGAATATATTGTATTAATAATTAGTCCATTTTGTTAACTCGAATATTTCTCTACATCGAATTCCTCATCAACCCGAATGTCTGAATTCACTCGAATACCTCTTGAATCTCAACTCTCTACAAATCAAATATCTCAATCTCGGATGACTAAGTATATCGAATATATTAATAATTAGTCCATTGTGTATACTCGAATATTTCGCTACATCGAATTCCTCGTTAACCTGAGTGACTCAATTCACTCGAATACCTCTCGAGTGCGTATCTCAAATTTCTACAAATCAAATAAATGAAATCTCGGATGTCTAAGTAGCCGCAATATATTAATAATTAGAATGCATTGTTAACTTGAATATTTTAGTACATCGAATTCCTCATCAACCCGAATGTCTGAATTCACTCGAATACCTCTTGAATATCAACTCTCTACAAATCAAATATCTCAATTTCGGATGACTAAGTAGATCGAATATATGAATAATTAGTCCATTTTGTATACTCGAATATTTCGCTACATCGAATTCCTCGTTAACCTGAATGTCAGAATTCACTCGAATACCTCTCGAATCTCAAATCTCTACAAACCAGATATCTCCATCTCCGATGTCTAAGTAGATAGAATATATTAATAATTAGTATACTTTGTTAACTCGAATATTTCAAAATATCGAATTCGTCGTTAACCCGAATATGTCAATTCACTCATATACTTCATCTACTTAAATATTTTAGCAACTCGAATATCTGTAAATCAAATTAGTACATTAATAACTCGAATATCTCCTTAACTCGAACTCCTTAATAACTAGAACATTTCAATTACACGAATACTTGAATAACTTAATGTTCGAAATAGCTTTTTCTATCTCGAATAAATCGTTAATTAGATAACCATAATAACTAATAATTCAATAACTCGAATTAAAACTTTGTGGTAAAAGTAGACACAAGTCCTTTGGCGCTTTAAATCTTCAATTTATTGAGTACGTATAATTATATTATCCTTACTGATTCCTCAGTCTCGATTTTTGAGCGATTAACTGTTTTTGTCGTGTTCTGAATTTGAGATATCTATGGTCCACTATATTTTCTCGGCAACTGAAATAGAACTTGTATTTGCATTTCGTAGATTTAGGAGATGCAAAAAGCGGTTTTTTTGCAGCTAAGTAAAACTTACTCGACCTCTCTCTACTGCTCTAAAAACCGAGAAACAGCCCTCGAGGAAAGGGTAAGGTAATGCGCGTGGGTTGGAAACAGAGTCGGATCAACATTATTTTAATAAGAGTCCGAACATGTTAAAATATTTTAAACGGAGGCGCCCTAATACTAGTAAAATAAAGAACATATACAATGAAAAATAAAATTATTTTTTTAAGTTGTCATCAAAACGTGTCGGGCAAAAACATCATACTCTGCTTAATTAAAATACAAATTTAATCTCAAAGCTTATGAGCCCTTAGAATTTTTATTCTTTTTAACAGAGACCACGAATGGACTGAATTGAGATAGAAAAATTCGCATTACAACGATTACGTTTGAAACATATTATATTTTATAAATCGAGTGTACCAATCTTTGGCATAGAATTTTTAAAGCGCGACATTAATAAAATGTTCATGAGTTCAAATATTTATGAACAAATCCAAACGTTTAAAAAATATTGTGCCCCCTTATTCATCAATAACCCGTAAGCACTATATTAGAACTGTCATACACGCGCTTCCCTTTGTCGAGCGATTTCGAGAGTTTTAGTTCACGTGCACGTGCGAACAGCGGCCGCTCGCCTGCGCGCGTTATTCTTCGAAAGAAAACGGGTAATTCGGTGAGCGTACGCCCGTCTCCACCTCCGACCGCAAAGAGGTACTCACACTGCGACGGAGCCCACGGGGCAGCGCGAGAAGCCGTGCGAAGACTCCACCTCTCGCTCCAGCTCCGCCACGCGCGCGGCCAGCCCGCCGTCCGACTGCAGCACGCCACACGCCACCTCACGTCCATCCTCGCTGACTGATTAATTAGTTATCCAGGGCGCGTCAACTTCTAAGATAGTCCCGTAAGTGTAGGGTATGTTTTTAACCCGTGCGGTGGCGGTGGTTTTTCCCTGCTGGATGGTGAAATCCGGCGCCCACCTACCCGTCGGCGTGCGGGTTTTATCCCCAACTAGGTATCTCACACCAGCGGGGATTCGTCCCCGAAGAGACAAGCTCTAGGTTTCCGACTGGCCTCTCGGCATGTGTGGTAGTGTACTGCTTGTAAGTGTAAGTATGTGACGATAGGACAAGGAAGGGGCAGGAAATATCGCGCGCGGTTCGTGGTCCGTTTGTGAGGGTACTGCTCTGGCATTCGCCTGGTGTTGATCGGAGAAACCACGTAAAACTACCAGAGTAGACAACCGCTAGAATTCCATCCTCCAGTCAGTGGCTGAATTCGACCTATCTATGAAGCTAATTAGCTCGAAACACCTGCCACATTCGGGACTCGAACCCTAGGACCTTTCGTTCAGAAGCACCGGAGTGACATCAGTTCTGAGCCACCTAACTCGGCACCATGCTCGATCCAGCTCAGCCTCAAGTCATTGAGAAGATTTTCTTTCCGGGCGCGTCAACCACAGAGGTGTCTAATCTCCTAAGCCATTTTTATGTTCCCGGAGGGGGCGGTGTCCCGCTGCGGAGGGAACGTAAGACCCCGCACCGACCTACACGTCGGCTTGCGGAGTTCCCCTCCTCCAGGTGCAGGGGCAGCACCCCAGCGGGGGCAAGCTCTAAGCTTCCAGATAGTCTACCGCATCGTGCGGAATTAGTGCGTGTCAAGTAAGTGTGCGGGGGACGGGAAGAAACGAAAATGCGAAAGAAGGGACAGCGTGCGGTCCGCGGTCGGTATGCTAAGGTGCTGTTCGGTATTTTCCTGTTATTGAGAAACCACGAAAAACGTGATATAGAGGTACCAAGGTAAACTATCGAGAAGAGCAGCCGAATCCTAGAAATCTCCTCCAGACAGCGGCTTAATTCGACGCATTTTAAATAGGAACCTCGGTTCGCTTCAGTTCTTATTTGTCATCACAGCCACATTCAGCTAGAATTAAATAAAACAAATATAATTTTATATATTGTCTTTGAGTTGTTGAGTTTAAGATACGCAATCTCATAGGAACAATTTTGCGAGATTTGAAATTGTTACTATATTAAACTTTAAAGCGATTTTTTTAAATTACAAAACATGTGAATTTTAAACCTTACATTAGATTTTGGTGATTAGTACAAAACAAACTATTTTAGGTTTCAAAAGTCACTTTATCCCACGTAGAATTAAAAATCTATCCCGTATTAGTTTTATATTTCCTTTAGTTTCTAGGCGCTAGTACTCACAGGCTGACAGACAGACGAACGAACCGACGCACAGACGGACGTTTTGAATAGAACTACTTTCTCGGTACCGGGGGACACCAAAACGTTTATTTCCGTTGAAATCTCGAAATAGATTTTTCGCAGCATTTCATAACTTTCTCTATACTACGTATATTACGCCGTATATACGTACGTATGCGGAGAAAGTAAAAAACATTGTTTTGGACTGCACTTCAACTCGCAGACTCTCTCTTTAGGCCCAATTCACAGAGTCAAATTTGGACAATCTAGATGGAAACATTAATATCTTGGTAACCATACGTCGTATTTTGGTGGTGGTTTGTAGACTTTTGTCTGATTGGTCAAGAACCTGTGTCACAATGAAATCTGTATCGTAATGAGTATCATTATGCAACAGGTTGCAGCCATCAAATGACAGTATTATACAACGGAAGTAAAAAAAAAACTTTATTGGTTCAGGGAGCGTAGAAGTGTATTTGGCCTCCCTTGTTTTAGGCCGCGCCCGCACATGCCATTTGAAACAGTGATATAGAACCCTCCTGGAAAGAATGAAATATAAGGCCACGAAGTGATAAGTGTAGAATTTCATCTCTCATTTTGTAAAAATATAAAATAAAAATAATAAAGTCTTGTAACGTAGAAATCTTACAACTCGTATAAACAGCAATGTTAAATGCAACATTTTTTACAAAATTAGTGGATATGCTCATATTTTATAGATGAAACGGAGGTATTTCTGCGTAGCAAATGATAAAGAAAATTTATCTTCGAAAATTATGCTCTTGAAAATAATTTTTATCTCATTTTCCTAACTCGTGTCTATTTTAATTTTGTTTTTAATATCACTTACGATCTTTTGGCCATCGTGTTGTGGTCTTCATTAGGGTTGAAATGCTCCGAAGCACACGCATGGCTCTGTGATAGTCTATGGCTTCAAAAATAACGTTTTTACAATTCCCTAATGAACCTGCATCACAAACATAAATATAGTGAAATCAGCTACACTGCAAAAAATAACGCCTAAGAATGTATCAGTCACTGGTAATGTAGTTCTTGTAGAAAGTGGAGCTGAACATACAGTACAGCGTAATGTATGTTTTACGTTTGAGAGTTCCCATATGATATTACAAACTGCTTTTAACACCCAATGTTATAATACTTAGTGTTATTAAATGACTGAGTTTGCAAATTGAGTACCCCCATCTGTGAATTACTGAATATGCTTTTAATATTCCTCGTGTAGACATTGCGCAATATTGAGGAAAGAGTAGAGATTTCTTTTAAAAATGTTTTTATAATATTACACAATTTAACATATCATTTTCAGAATCCATATTGTTTACGAAAGTGCGTGTTAACGTTTTCACAATTCTGCCAATATTAGCATATGTTAACTTTTATATTTCGGTCTTACTTAAACAAGTGCAACAAACATATCGGATTCAACAAACAGTTCAAATAAAAGC